ATCTTTGGTGGTCATGCTATGGCTGAGGTGATCTGGCTTTAAAAAAAGAAATCACTGGCCATTCAGATCCCACTTCTTCTCTGCTGTAAACATCTGCAAATCGTTACTGGCCTAATCGTGTGTCTGTAAGAAATCAACATTCGTTTCAGAGTCGGGAGAGAAGAGAGGGAGGGTCCGGAATTAGTACGACCCCTTGTTGGCCTCACCCTTCTTCTACCCTCACAGGCACACAGTAAGATTTTGAGCTTTCTCAAAGGGCAGGGAGAAGAAATAGCTCTCAGAGACGGCTGTGGGGCATGGGCCAGGGGAGGGACTTGACCTGCCCGAGGCTCCTGGCAGTCCCTAGCACTGCTTGGAAGGGTTGACAAAGTGTATGAAATGGTAGTGTTGAGAGAGGAGAGTGGAGTTCATTCATTGAGCACATGCTGTTTCTTGTTTGTTTTTAATGGGTAGGTGGCCCTGAGAACCTGCAGAGAAGGACTACATACAAGATAGCTTCCTCTCGGGACGCTCCACCGATGAGTTTTAATGCTCTTGACCGATCTAGGAGCTCAGCAGACTTTCGGGGTAACCCCCCCCCCCCCCCCCCCCCCCCCCCCCCGCTTGTGGAGGACAGCCCACATTGTACTTATTCCTTGGACACTGCCATTGCACATGTGTGTGTCCAGGACATCTTGCCACGTAGCCATGTTGTCTGTGACCCACAAAGGGACTTTGGGGATCCACACAGCCTGTGGAGAAGGTATTGATGTTCACTTTTCAAAGCTGGAGTTAACGTGGAGGAACTAAAGTTCCTGGATAAGTTTTCTGCCCACTCTCCGTCGCCCAGGGTTTACACATTCTGGCTGTCATACTCCCCTCTGTAGAGCATAAAGACTCCACATGACCCCAGTGATGGCGGCGACTGAGGTCTTAGGGTGAGGTGGGATGGAGTGTTTGAGATCCATGAAGGAAGAGGGAAAGCATGGGCATCGGGCAGTGTGTTGCCTTTGGTGCCTTGCCTCTGCAGTGGTTTAGAATTCAGAATCCCCGCCTTCCTCATGACAGTTCCCCAGTGCCAGGCAACGAGGGTTTCCCACTAGCAAGATACCGAGGCGGGAATGTCCAGATGACAAGCCTTTTGTTCTGTCATCCTCTGGGGAGAACTCTGCCTCTCCCCTGCACACCTCCACCCCTGTGGATCCTCAGTGGCCTCTGGAGCCTCTGGTCCATGCACCTGCTTTCCCCCAAGTCCACTCCCCACCCCCACCTTGTGTCCCCTGTCCCTGATCTCCATGCTGAACCCAGACCTCCACATTTTGGAGCATCTCAAAGTCTTATCTGCTCCTGACTCCAAATAGCCTACAGTTCCTGCCATGGGCACTCCTGGTCCTTATCCAGGTAGGCTCAGAAGCCACAGGCTCACAGGGACAGTCCCCTGAGTCTTTTTTTTTTATTTATTATTTTTATTGTACTTGTCACCACAGTGACATTTAGTATTAAGAGCTTTTCATTATTTTTAGTTGACTTTACTAATAGGTCTTAACTCTAATGGAGGAAATGCCCACACATTAACAGCCTCTGGTCATAACTTAGTATAAACAACATTTTAGCAGAAGCAAGATTTTTGGTTAAATTCAGTTTAAGTTACAGATCTAATTAGTGGCAAAAGTTGTTGTTGATATCTGCACTTGGGATCTACATGAATTATTCTTCTGTGTTGGTCTGTGATAGCCAGGGGGCCAGAGGGACATTCCTCCTGCTTTGCTTCAGGCTGAGCACCGAACAGCAAATGAGCCTAGATCTTTCTTGATAAGACAGAGAAGAAAGGGACATAGGCAGAGGAGCTGTTTATAGAAATTTACCCTGCAGTCGTGGCTGACCCCAGCTCAGTACTTGAGGTAGGTGGTGGCGGGGAGAGGGGGAATGTTGGGGACAGCTGTAGTCTGGTAGGATGTCCCTGAGCTCTTCCGTGGCCTAAGAACCACCTGTTATGCAGGAGATGATGCAGTAGTGTAAAGATGTTGGAAGATGTGACCCTGTCCCCATGTCCCTCCCTTAAGCCCACACGGGTGGAGTGGTGAGTCGATTCACACTCTTCAGGATAGGACACTGGGTCGTACCTTGTCCTTCGCCCATCTTTGGTGGTCATGCTATGGCTGAGGTGATCTGGCTTTAAAAAAAGAAATCACTGGCCATTCAGATCCCACTTCTTCTCTGCTGTAAACATCTTCAAATCATTACTGGCCTAATAGTGTGTCTGTAGGACCAAAGGAACTGGCCACATTTGTGACTGAGTCCATTTTGATTTAAACTTGACTTTGTCTAACATTGGTTTGTACCCAAGAGCCTGTCCTGTTCCCTAAACCACAAGTGGGATTTCTTTGATTCTTTCTAAGACACTGGCCACAGGGAGATGCATCTGGACCACTCTCTACCCAGTCAGCTTGCAGAAGACAGGCTGCTTGGTGAGCCCTTCTGGCTGTTGGTACTGTCTGTCTGTCATAGATTGCTCATGAGAACTCGGGCAGTGAAACCTGACACTCTAGGCTCAGAAAATAAAGTGCACCCTCCCGGTGCCTCCTGGAGCCAATGAGCATTGTGTACAGCTCATGTCCTTACTGCCTTCTGTCTCTCCCACAGCCAAACTCAGGTGGCTCCCAACCAGAGAAGTGGTCTTTTCAGCTCACTTGACCACAGACAGCAGTCTCACACGTCAGCATCAGTGGTTTGGCACATTCAAGAAGGTGGAGGTGGGGACTGAAGATGGGGGAAGTCTGTTTTATTTTCTCAGGACTCTGAATCGATGAGACAAAAATCAGCTGAAACCCAGCTTTCAAAAAAGTATACTAAAGTCAGCTTATATCAGGAGAATGTATGTTGGATTCAGGAGCTCGGTTTGTGGTGCAGGGACTCTCTCTCGGTCCTCTTTTGCTCACCTCCAGCCTCATTAAGTGCCGAATGCTGTTGGCATCCGCTGTCCATGGCTTGAGCAACGCATGTGTTCCTCCTGGCTCAACAGCGCATGTAGAATGAGCCCTGCCAACCCATGGAGAAGAGCCCTGTGCCTGAGAGGGTTTAGAAGTGCTGACCGGGTTCAAACTAGAGTCGCTGTATTATCTTACATGGTCAGCCTGTCCAAATATCCTACAGTTAGTGTCTTAGGGTTTCTGATGCTGTGGCAAAACACCATCACCAAAAGAAACTTGGGGAGCAAAGGGTTTATTTCACCTTCTACCTTAAGTGGCCATAAAGGAACACTGCTTACTCGATTGCTTCCTGGGAGCAACATCATGGGGGTGGGGGGCGCCCATGGTATTAATCAAGAAAATGCCCACAGTCTTGCCCACAGGCCTGCCTGCCTGCCAGGGGGCATGTTTTTTTTTTTTTTTCACTTAAGGTTCCCTCTTCCCAAATGACTCTTAACTTGTATTGACAAAACACTAACCAGCACACAGCACATTCAAGGTTTGTCTTTTCACTTATCCTGGTGGTTTTGTTGTGGTTGTTAAGTTGTTTTAAACTTTGATCTGCAATAGCTGAGTTTGCTTTTACCAGCTTTTACCACAACACTAGATGCAAATCACGTCATCAGATGGTGATGTGGAAGCCCTCACAAGGCATGTGTGTGTTAAACGCTTCTTCTCACATGAAAAATTTCCAGTGGCCACTTCCCTTACTCAAATCCTGTCAGATCTCATGGCCTCTAAATCATAAAGGCCTTTCTTAATTTTTAGTTGACTTTAATAACTGGTCCTGACTCTAATGGAGGAAATCCCCGCACATTAATACCCTTTAATCACAACAGTTTAAATAGTATTCTGAGTGTAAGGAATATTTTTAGTTAAATGTCACTTACGTTACAGATATGATTAGTGACAAAATGGAGTGATTTGCCCCAGAGTTCCCAAAATTCAAGCACACACCATCTGAACGAGTTAGCGTGAATATATTTCAGAACTATCAAATTTGTTTGACATGTTCTCTTAAATCTGCAGGGCTCCAGCTGGAAGATGACAGTCAGATCCATGTCTCATAGGTGTTTGTTAAAGCAGCTCTTCATCTTCAGGGTTGGGGGTGCATAGAAGATTTTGACTTTAAAATGACTAACATTAATAATGTATGACATACTCAAACTTTTATTAGAACTCAGTCTTTAGTGTGTGTAATGTTATTCAGGAAAGTTAAAATGTGCCTATTATCATCAATAAAAATGTAGCTCAGGACTCCAGAGCTAACACCAGGTGCTCAAAAATTGTCACCGACGTGGGAAGTGTAGTCCGCCTTTAACTCCAGCTCAGCTGTTAGCCATTTAAAAGGGCGCTGTCTATCTGCTCACCGAATAAAAAATACAGTTCCACAGTGCACATATTTCGTACAGATGACACTGTGGTACAGTCTGTGGCCTCTGGGTTTCTAGAGAGGTGGCTTCATTAGGAGCTTGATTGCCTTCTGTAGCTGGCAAACCTTACCCACCTTGGGCAGCTTTGTGCCAAGGAGGGCTGCTGCCTGGCCCGGGACAACTTAGCCAGTCCAGTCAGCCCTCCGGAGGCTCTAAAACCCTGTGTCGACTGCTGAGCGTATTGTTGATCTCCCTGCTGCCCAGGGTCCTGTGGAGAGGAAACAGCATTGTAGCTGCTCAGAGGTGCTAAGGAGGAGATATCAGGGACAGGGGCACTTGCCTCTGAGTCTCCTTGGCAGTATACGACAGGACTCAGCACAACAGGAGCTGAAAAATGCCAGCCAGGCTGCTGTGCCCCAAGCTTGGTGTGTTGAAACCTCATCCCGTCCCCCTCATCACCACCACCTCTTGGGAAGTGTGAGTCCTTTGAGAGGCCTCAAAAATGGTGGCTGAGTGTTCTTTTTAAAGAGGGCTTAGGGGAACCTCTTTCCCCCTTCCCACCAGGTGAGGATACAGCCAGGAGACCCCATTCTACTGCTGTGTGTGACAGGAGGTGGGACCTCACCCAGTCTGCCAGCTCTGTGATTTTAGACTTCCAACTTCCAGAACTTCAGGAGATTAATTTGTGTCGCCCATGGTACTGTGTAGTAGCAGGTTATTGCACAGGTGGACCTCTAAGATTTCTTAATTGTAAATGCCACAGCTGTGTTTTTCTGTTGGGAGAAGTAAATGCAGGGCCCTGGAAACAGTCTGTAAGTATTTTGCTACCCAGTACCATCCTCGTATGCTAATAGATTTCAGAAGATTGAGAATTTTCTCGGAGCACAGATCTTCAATGTCGATGTTAAAATCTTGCTCCTAAGACCCAGAAAACAGCATCTTGCCAGTGTTTTGTTTTGGGATTTTCTATTCCTCCTTTGTTCTTGTTTTTTTTCCCATGCCAAAGTATTTCAGTTTATGCATTATTGAACAGGCTGTAGGTAAAGCCATTACTTTGCACAAACATGATACTTTACCTGACCCAACATACAGCTTGCTAGCAGTTGGAAAGTTTCTAATGGGCTCTTTCTAGATATTCTCATCCGTATGATTTATGTAAAGCAAGCTGAGGCAGCACAACCCAACTGAAAAGCTCACACCCTCAGGTCAGTTCTGTGAGGGATGATGTTATGATTGACGTGAGAATTGGAAAGAGGGATGTTATTGAACTCTCATGCCGAGTTTGGTACAGATAACCCGATATACACTGTGTCTGGGTCAGTATAAGACAGCAGGTTCCCGGCATGTTTGTTCTGGTTGGGATGTACTGAGGACAACAGGAGGGACCCCACTGTTGGTGCCTGTCTCAGGAGTTGGTTGTTGGAACCCCAGTGAGGAGGATTCTGGAGACGGCACTAAAAAGTACATGTCCCTACGCCTGTGGTGGAGATGGGGTGAGCAGACGCTCTGGGTCGTAGGAGTTCTGGTCTGCCATGTTTACTTGGGTTTGCTATTTATAGCGGGTAAATATATGGCTTGGGTCCTTGAGAAGTGGGTGTTAAGGCTTGCCCCTCTCCATGAGAAAATATGTCAGATTCTAGGAGAAAATCATAGCACTGTGTTAAAATAGTGAACACATACTGGAGTTCAGATTGTGTTTCTGTTACAAGTAAAAAAAAAAAAAAAAAAGAGAGGTGGCGTTGAGTTTAATGAGAGAAGAGATGGAGTCGGAAGCCACGCTGGACCAATGCTCACAGAGAGAAGGGAGTGGGGCCGCCATCCTATGCCTTCTTTGCCTCAGCTGCCTTGTCGTAGCTTCAGGGAAGGCAAGGCCGGAAGAGCGGGCTGGGAGCTGTCACAGGCCAGTCTGGACCTGGGATTGCAGTTTCTCTTGCCGGTCCCTCACACAGGCGGTTAACACCACCGTGCTGTAGGTGCCCAGCTCCCCACTGCCCCCAGCCCCAGGCCACCGCTGCTCTCCCTGAGGTCCTCAGCAGTAGAGAGAGGGGGGCAGATGAAAGCTTGTTGTGCCAGTATTCAGGGTTTCTTGTCCCTTCTATTTCAGATGACTCTAGTTCCTCTACCATTGGGCAGGTTCAGGGCAAAGAGAATAGGGGAGGAAAGTGGGCAGATGGGTACCCTTCTCAGCACCCCGCATGACTTTCCCATGCACGCTCTGCCCACCCAGCATCTCTCCAGCCTGTCTGTGCCTGCTCTTCTGCCCATACTCCTTACCCATTATTCACGCTGCTTCTTAAAGTCTCCAGGCTCTGCCTGCTTGTGACTGGAGACTCAGGGAACTGTTTTCATCTCCTACCATCAAAGGAACCATTGACCTCTCCTTTTCTGGCTAGTGGATGTAAGTAAGTTCCTGACACCCCAGTTCGCTCTGACAGAGCTGGGCATCTGGTCTGTTATGAATTCAAGATGCTATATGATGGGGTGCGCTGATCTGTGCTGCTTCACTGTCTGGGAATGTCCGTCCAGTTCCCCCATCTCTTTCCCAGCTTGGTCTCCGCACCTGCTGGGGGAGAATGGGTAAGGGATCACATCCATAGCTGAGATAGTGTGACATACCCACCACCACCACCACCACCACCACCACCACCACCACACACACACACACAGTCTGTGCAGCTCCCTCTTGGGTTTCTCTGTCCTGGCTGCTGCTATGAGAATACTCAGCGTCAGAGATCCAACTCCCAGAAGGCTTTCTACACCCTTGGCCTTCAGGCATCGCTGGGATTGTGGATAAGAACCTTTTGAAGAGGACTTTGGACCTCTTGTGACAAAATACTGTTCTGATCAAAGAAATCCAAAACCTTTACTCAGTTAAGAATCCCTTGATTCTGGAATACTTATGGGTTTCATATGCATCGTCTGAACTTAGATGCCCTTGACAGGCTTCCATATGTTGAAATCCTGACAACCCCAGGACCTCAAAACTGGGATTGCATGGAGATGGGGCCTTTATTTATTTATTTGTTTGTTTATTTTGAGACAGGGTTTCTCTGTGTAGCTTTGGAGCCTGTCCTGGAACTCGCTCTGTAGCCCAAGCTGGCCTCGAACTCACAGAGATCCGCCTGCCTCTGCCTCCCGAGTGCTGGGATTAAAGGCATGCGCCCCCACCGCCAGGCTAGATGGGGGGGCCTTTAAAATAGCAATTAAAACAAGAATAGTAAGACGAGGTAGGCCCTGCCCCAGTGTGGCTTGTACGAGAATGACACACATAGGGAAGCCTAGGTGAGGACTGAACCAAACCTGGGATTGCAAACCAAGATGTTAAGTAAAGTTCTTCAGTCAAGTAGAAATCTAGACTTTGACCTAAACATTCTCACTTGCCCTAATGTAACCCCTCTACGTGAGTCAGACGCTGTGGTCCAAATCAAAGCAGTAAGTGCCACCACCTTAACTGGGTTAGTGTGTTCACTTTGACCCGTTTGCATCGTCTCAAATGCTCCTGGCCCTGAGCTGCGGTCAGTGGCACCACTACACAGTGGAGGATGATGGCAGCTCACAGCCCTTCCTCTGGACCTGCACCCTGGGCAGAGCAACCCTGGGGGCCAGCCTGCTTATTCTGCAGGTTACAGATTCGAGAACTCAAGTATCCCTGGAGGTCATTCGGTGTCACTGGGAGGAGGGGAGTCTGCAAGGGGCTCCACAGAATGCCCCAAGCAGAGCTGATGGGAGAGTAGTCCCTGAAAAACTGAGAAGTCTTGCCCCCTGCAGCGCATCCCCTGCTCTTAGCCAGTGCAATTTTCTCCCCTAGAATTTTCTGGAGTTCTACATTTTAACTGGGTCAAAAGCTTGCTTGGGTGAGGACTTCTCGAAATTACTCTCCTGCATATGGAAAGGAGTGTGTTTCACATTACAGGACAGTGTTTACTCACATGTGGATGAAAAGAGTGTGCACAGGCTAACCACGATGCTCTCTGAAGATTTTCTTATTCACTTAAACTCACTCCATCCGCTGACTTTTTTGCAACCTGTTCAGTTGATCTGAGGATCCGCTTGCAGGTTTCCCATCACAGTCTTCGAAATCCTGCCTTGGAATCAGTATGTCAGTGGATCTTCTACTAATTCGCTCCTCAGTCTGTTGTGGAAAAATTCAGTCCAGTGTATTGTGAGCACAGATGAATTGTGGGTAGGGAGGGAAGTCAGAAGGGCCACCATGCAGGCAGGTAATACAAGGGCAGTGCATTCAGGGAAGCAGAGAAGGAGGGGTCTTGGAGCAAGGTTACAAACTATTCAGGAGGAAGGTACTGTGGATGCAGGGCAGCCACACAGCTGTACCGTTTTCTTTTCCAGCTGGTCACTGTCATTTGTAACCAGTCTTTGTGATGCCCTGATGGGAAAAACAAAAACAAAAACAAAAAACACTCCCACGCCCTCAAAGTGTGGGAATGGGCATGGTATACAACGTGTGCACAGTGCCAACTGAGTCCTCTGCCGTGTCTTCACAGGCCTTGGAAAGACGCGGAGGAAGCCGAGCGCTCGGGATGCATCCCCAACGCCAAGCACCGATGCGGAGTACCCAGCCAATGGCAGCGGTGCTGACCGCATCTACGACCTCAACATCCCTGCCTTCGTCAAGTTCGCCTACGTAGCTGAACGAGAAGATGAGCTGTCCCTGGTGAAGGGCTCCCGCGTCACAGTCATGGAGAAATGCAGCGATGGCTGGTGGCGCGGCAGCTTCAACGGGCAGATCGGCTGGTTCCCCTCCAACTATGTGCTGGAGGAGGCCGATGAGGCCGCAGCCGAGGCCCCCAGCTTCCTGAGTCTTCGTCGGGGCGCCGCACTGAGCAACGGCCAAGGCGCACGGGTGCTGCACGTGGTGCAGACGCTGTACCCCTTTAGCTCGGTCACTGAGGAGGAGCTTAGCTTCGAGAAGGGGGAGACCATGGAGGTGATTGAGAAGCCTGAGAACGACCCTGAGTGGTGGAAATGCAAAAATGCCCGGGGCCAGGTGGGCCTGGTCCCCAAGAACTACGTGGTGGTCCTCAGTGACGGGCCTGCACTGCACCCCACGCACACCCCGCAGATCAGCTACACCGGGCCCTCAGCCAGCGGGCGATTTGCTGGTCGCGAGTGGTACTATGGCAACGTGACACGGCACCAGGCCGAGTGCGCGCTCAATGAGCGGGGCGTCGAGGGCGACTTTCTCATTAGGGACAGCGAATCCTCGGTAAGTGCCCGGCTGCCTCTCTGCTGGGGCCACGCTGCCAGGAGAAAGCTAAATGCACAGTTCCCTCACCTGCAAGTTCAGGGACGCAACGCCAGCCCGGGTCTGAGGATGTTCAATGATCTCACAGTTTGCATTACAGTTCATTTGCCTGATTCAGCACTGTTAAATATCTTACCAAGTCTTACTTACAAGTTAGACTTAGTCATGGACATAACAGAAAACTTATTTTGGAGGGTTCTGATCTTCCGTGGTTTCAGACATCCACTGGAGGTCTTGGAACCTTCCTCAGAAAGGACCACCTGTGTGGGTGACGTGACTGGTGTGCCATTCTTTTGTCGAGTTCACTGACTGTACTTAAAATAACAAAATGGTATCTGAGGGCACATATTAAGATAGATAAATACCATGTTGGCACAGGGTCACTGCTCCCAATTTAACTAAATCTGGATTGAGTAGACTGAGGTCTCTGCTGCCGTTCTCCTGGTTGTGGGAAGGTGTGGAAGGTGCCTTTCAGCTCTCGGGTGATTTTGGCCCTGCGGCGAGGCTTCCTCTTTCCCAGTTTTAAGATACGGGCCTCCTTTCCCTTCCTGCTTCCTCCTCGTGTAGAAGGCCCTGGGATTCCTTGCTTGGTGCCATCTACAGCTGAGCATGCAGCAGGTTCTCAGTTAGCAGGTGCCGGGCTTCCGACGGAGCCTTTCGTGTTGCTGGTTTGTCTTTCTTTGTAAAGCACATCATCCCAAGGTTGTCTTCGCTGCACGCAGCGCCACTGAAAAAGCTCATCTCTGGAAAGCTCTTAAAGTACTTACAAACAGGATCGAAGGGAAACCTGGGGTGCTTGAGGGAGATGAATAAATGGGGAATGAGGCCACCTGTCTGGCGCAGCCCGTCCTCCAACAGGTGGCTGCTTGTGTGTGTGTGTGGCGGGGGGCAGTTATGGCTCATTGGGAGTATCTAAAAGAACCAGATAGCTTCTCCACAGGCAGCCTTTCTGTGTGTGCCTCCTGGGAATAACCCATTTTGTCGATCTCTTCCCGGTGACTCTTGGAAAACCTGTAAGCAAGAATTTAGTCCAGCGTGTTCAAGTGTTAACTGGTCCTCCTAGGCTTTTGGTTTCATGTTTTAAGTGCACGGTGTAAGAACAGAAGGCGTGTGTGTGTTCTGCTCTGCTAGCGCAGTGAGCAGTGTGCGCTCCTGCCCCACAGGACTGATCTGAGACGAGGTCACGGCCCCTCATGGAGAGGGGCCACTGAAGTCTGTTCTTTATAGCAGAAGGGGCATCGAACTAGTGGAAACCGAACCCCTTTATGGTGTCAGCAGCTTTTCAGAGCCGGCCTCAGCCTCAGATGTTCTCAGGCAGGACTCTGAATGCTGACTGCATCTGAAATCTGAACGCTGAGATGTCCTGATCAAGCCCAGGGTTCATCATTGCTGGCAGGACTTCTTCACGTGGCATTGTTCTCACGCCTTGGAGGCTCCATGCATGGCTGCCTTTAGATCACATTCTGGGCCTGTGAGGAATTAAGGATAGCGGTGTCTCTCACACGCAGAGTAGGAACAGGGAAGGCTCTGAAATCCCAATTAGAGTGCAGAATGCCCAGTCCAAGTGCTTGCGAGCCAAATGCTTGATTTGCAGTGGCTTCTCTTGGGAGAGAAGGGGGCAGGAACCACATAGTGTGTGGGGGTGGGGTGGGGGGGAGGGTACTGGCCTCTTTTATTGACAGATGAGAAAAGGATCCCCTAGGGTTTCTGGTCCAAAAAAGACCTGTTAATTTCCTGTGTCCACATAAGCGACCTTCTTCCCACTGATGGAGGCATTGATTTATTTGCAATTTGTTTTAACCCCCTTTATGGACATTTATTCTGCCTTAAGAGGCTGAGGTCAGACAGGCTTTGGTTGCCAGAGGTGTGGGGGCAAAGAAGGCCTTATTGGAATATGTGTCATCTCTAGAGACACAGATTGGCCTGCAACTGTGTGTAGTTTCTGTCCCGGAGGTCTTGGAGTTGTTAAGCTGTGTGGCTGTGCCAAGAACCCGTTACGAGGGTCTCCGATTGTGTTGTTTTGTCTTCTGATGAAAGAATGGGCCAGGTGTGGATTTACTATCTTGTCTATTCACAGCTCCATTCTGTGTTGGTAAAGGGCCTGTCCTGGTGGACACACGGGTGACTCCCTGGTCTTTTTGAACCGTCTGCTGCCTTGCCCATGTCCTGTGTCGTTTTTCCTGTTCTTTGGGGATTTTTCTGGTCGGAGCCTTGTTCTCACAGTCAAGCCCAGGTCACACAGAGCGTTAATTCAGGATCTAATTGATCGTCATGGGGTTGGGGGATAGAAGGTGTTCCCAGGGGCTTGACTCTACCACAGGACTGAGGCAGATGCCTTTGAGCCTGGAGCCTCCATTACAGAAGTGATTGTGGGAAGCCTGACTCCTGAATGGGGAACAGGAGCTGGGGGGAAAACACATCTTCCTGACAGATGTCAATTAAAAATCTGTCTCAGGGGATGCAAGATAAGCAAGGCTCTGGACTGATGAATGCCTAATGTTTCTCTCCTTTGACCAATTAAAATCCACCCATATCTGGGTTCCCAGAAGTCTGCTCTTGAGGAGAGGAGGGTATATTGCAAGTAAAGTGACCATCGCTTCATCTGTGCCTTCCAGGACAGGGGCTAGGCATTTCAGGGCTCTGCTGGAAGTGGGCTGGACTTGAGGAGTGAACGAACAACCAAGCAGGCCCGTTGGTCACATCCCATTTGACTGTCCCATCCCCAGCTGCGGTACCCATCATCCTCTCTCTTCTGATCGCTTCTCCTCCCTTGGCTTCTTTTCCTATCTGCAAATGAGCCAAGGGAGGCACAGTAGTATTGTGAGAACTAACCTGCCTGATGCAGAACATCCACAGAAGTCCTGCCTGCCCGGAATGGGCATCAAATCCCTAGGTATTTGCCTACATAGACTCTGTAGGGATGCTTACAAGGCTGCAATTAAATTAATTTGATTTCTGGCCAGCAGTACAAGCGGTCAGTGGTTGTTGTTGTTCTTTCTCAGTTACAAGATCCCTTGTCCTTGTAGAAGGTACTTGGAAAGCATTGGGTGCAAAGTAAAGAGACATTCTGAAACGGTGGAGCGACTGCTGGGTTGATACAGGACTGCATTGGCCAGAGTAGTGTAGGGGGCGTTCCCTCTGCAGACTTTTGATCCTCAGAGAGCTAATAATTCCCCTCCGGTGCTTTATATGCCATGATAATAATTAAGCACTAATGTTTGTTGTGTTTCATACTCGTTTCAGGTAGAGAAAGACTCTCGGTTTAAAAAAAAATTTAATATATTACTGACCACATGAAAAGTCAGGGGTGTTTTGTTTCCCCTTTTAAAACCTATTAATATTACTTGATTAGGAAATTAAAAACTAATGAGTTCTTTGTTTGCAAATTATTACATATTTTAAGTTATTTTTGTGCATATGGATGTCTGCCTGTGTGTATGTATGCATATGTGTGGGGTACATTTGGAGGCCAGAAGAGGACATTGGGTTCCCTGGAATTGGGGTTACAGAGGGTTGTGAGCCACCATGTGGGCACTGGGAATGGAACCTGCCTCCTCTGAAAGACTAACAGTGCTCTTAACCTCCGAGTCATCTCTCCAACCCAACCAAGATCATTATATTTCTTCTAGAAAGCGTTCTAGCCACATTCTAAGAATACAAGTTGCAACATTTTAAGAATTTATTTCTTAGGGAAACATTTCTAATGACAATTTCTTTGACCCATCTGTCTAGATGGGGATTCTTACAATGCAGTTCAGATCCTAATTCCCTCAGGAGCTGTGAGTGTAGAAATTAACTGCCTTCCCATCCCCTCAGCATTCCTGATCTGGGACATCTGGCGCCCATGAACTTTCAGTTTGACACAATCCTTGGTGTCCTTGGTGTCCTTGATTCTACCAGTCCCCTAATACTCGGTGTATTTGTTTTGGCTGGTCATGCCAGAGATAGAAGCAGTGTCTCTCTCCTGTCCATGCTTGGTAAGATTTCCAATACTGAGCTACATCCTGAGCCCTTATCATGGATTGTGGGTGGTTTTGTGTATTTTACAGCAGTTATTAAAACATTTCTGGATAACACAATATCCTAAGAATGGTAGGAATGTTTGAAGGTAGAAATTAAGACTTTCTCCTAAAGCTTAATTTTCCATAGAACCTTTACTTAGCCTCTCTTAAGTGAGACTCATGTTTTGAAATGTTCTGTGAACTTTTTTTTTAAAAAAAAATTTCTCTCAGTTTTAAAAGTAA